CCTGGTTGCAAAGAATTATTCTTATATTCATTTATTTAAAGTACATAGAACACAGGACTTCTGATATTTCATTTAGGAGCTTAGAATGAGGAAAATTACACTCGGAACGTAACTCGGCTAAACGATGGATTAATAGGCCAACTTGGCGCTTTGCTTCCCTCGATCGATCTCCTCGTGCGGTGAGCTGATTCAATTTGCAGTGTATAGCTCAACATCTTCGCCCGCTCTACTAACCGACTAAATTCAAGTCCGTGACTATAGAATTGCATAATGCAAAGCTTCCAATTCAAAATGGAGCCTGAAATTCACTTCACAGATCCGACGCTTGTGCAGTGGTGGAAATAAGCGCTCGCCCATGCGAGTGTGAAAAACTTCGGGCGAGTACAAATTATCGAGCACTCGCCCATTTCGCGAGTAGGGTTGTCATTTTTGGAAAAATATTTGGCTTAAAAATTGGTATCACTCCTAATTTTCCATTTTGGCAAAAATATCTCTAAACGGATGAATCTATCATACAGGTAACATTACAAGTAGAACGCGTTAAAAGAAACCGCATTGCAACTGGCGAAAATATCAATAATACGAGACTCTTTTGAGTATTGAGTCTCACCTTATTGTATATTGATAACCAGTATTGTTACTACACGTAAAAAAAGAGGTTTGCTTTGCAATTTAACTCTAAATAATTGCGAAAAAAGTTTTGACAACCTTAAATCCATCTGGTTCAAAGTTTCAAGAGTTTTTGACCATGTTTCGACGTTTGCTTAACGCAAGAGAATATTCTCGCGAATACGTTGATATAAATGTCTGGTTGAATTCTCTGTTTTTTAGTGGCATTGTAGTTTTTCGAGACAAATGGGAACGTTTCACGCCCATTCCAATTTTCAGTTCTTCTCAATTTCATTCATTTCGGTAAACTAAATTTTGCTTCCTTTTTAACGACTTTATTTGAATTGTTATTGTATATAGTTTCAGTGCTGTAAATAATTATCACGTAAAGTTTTAGTGGAGAATTTGCATGAGCTCAATAAAGAATAAT